TGCACAAAGTATCGTCTTTCTCAAGAACACCATTGATGTGTGGAACGAGCTCAAAAAACTTTTCTCACAAGGTGTTTATATTCATATCTCTGAGTTACAGTGCATAATCTCTGGTTTGAAGCAAGAATCTCATTCAGCTTTAGAATTTTATGTTGGTGGAGGATACGAGGATCAAATGATCTAGGGGGGGGGGGGGTTCAATAAAATTAAACTTTTCCAACAGAAGCGCAAATTACATGATTTGAGGTCAATTGTTGTTACCGTGACAGAATATAAAAAACATAAGCAAAAGATAGCGGCGATTTCATAAAGCATACGATTAAATGGACATTATAGTTAACTCAGATGATCAGAAATCAAAACAACTGAGAAATATGAATTTTCTTAAACAAGCAATTCAACAGTTATCATAATTCAATTTTCACACAAAGCTCAAATTCAATTTGATAAATGAATGATCAATCTAACAACAAGAGTTCATACCATAATAATCTCAAAAGAGAATGGTCAAATGACTAGATCTATCATAAACCTAAACTTTAATAAAAAAATCTCTATTAGAAGATAAATCCTAACAACATGTTATTCTACGAAAGCGATACAAACTTAATGTCACACCCTCATTTTCACCATAACCTTTCATATCCTACGTTCGTCATATCATACATTGTTCTATTGCATATCGAGCATGTGGGTTCACAAGGTAAGGATTAGGTCGGTTCGTTGTTTTCCATTCCAAATAAGATAAATTGCCTATCATGGGCTACATAGAAGAAAAGGTTCATCATCTAAGGTTTGGTTTAAGTTGGAAAGTCGACTCATGTAGAATCCTTCAAGGAGAAGTTACTCGAAAAATATTAGGATATTCAAGATCAATATTCCTAATGAACATGAAGTGCAAGGCGTAATTCAAGATTTCTTCATCCAACTTTGTTTCAAATTCTATGTTCAAGTGGAGTTTAAAAGATCACAAGTTCATAATTCAAGACTTCATCCCTTTCAAATTCAATGGCATAAGGGAGATACATCATTCCAAATTCAGGATTCATGAGTTCAAGATTAGATTCAAGAATATTACAAAGGAAAATTTCATGACATTGCAAGAATGTCACATTTGTTACAAAGTTTCTAACTCTAAGGAATGCTTAGAAAATTAAGCTATTTCTAATCTTAATTCAAGTCTCTAATCAACTTCATGCTATGGTACCTTTCATCCCCCCATCAAGTCCACATGTTCCTCATTATGCCTACAAACATCCAAGGAAAATAATTAAGATTCAACTTAAGATCAAGACTATGCATGCTTAGTCATGGGCATTTTTAATGTGATCCAAAACAGTCCCATGCAAGAAATGACCAACTAGCTCACAACTAAACAAACCATGTCACAAAACTTAAGGAACTAGTTCATGTTGGTTCACATACATACCAAAATTCAGATGTTTAAAATTCTGTCAAGGGGAGAAGCATGGACCACAAGGACATCCCAAGAACAAGTGAATAAAGGAGAGCAATACAGAAAAATAGCACTAGGAAAGTACAACAATAAAAGCAGAAAAAACAACATGCTAGAAATGGAAAAAACAGGGTTGCACCAAGAAAGTGGTAATAAGCATTTCCAAGTAAAGAAATGCTGAAACTTGAAGCATGTGCAAACTCTAATACTTTGGTACAGCAGCAAAAGTGCAGCAGAAAAGTAGGATTTCTATAGGAAAAGGGTGCACCAAGAAAGTGGCATTGGACATTTTTAAGTGTAGAAATTCTGAAGTTCGAAAACATGTGCAAACCCTAATGTTTTGGCTATAAAAGAGAAGCAATAGCAGTAGAAAAGAGAGTCAAATTTGGAGAGAAAGAAGAGGCCAAATATTGAGAACAAGGGAGAAAAACCAGAAGAAAAAAAAGACATTAAGAGAGATCAAGAAAGTCACATAGAAACTCAAGAGAACCATAGAAAAAAACAGGAAAAAAAAAGAGATTGAGAAAGAAGAAAGAAAAAAAAACATTGAGAGAACAAGAGAGTGATAGAAAACTAGAAGAAGGAAGTGAATCATAGAGCACATCTAACAAAAGCCATTGGTGGTTAGAAGGAGAATAGTAGCTCTTGGGTATCTTTTCTTTCAAACTCTTTTCTCTTTATATATTTGCATTGTTTTTATTTTCTCTTTTAAGTGATATTTGTGTTGTACATATTGTGGTAAGGTCTCAAGAGTGACCAAAAACTATTGTAAAAAGAAAAAAGAGAGGAAAATGTTTAGTTTTTTTTTTCACTCAGCAGGGCTGACACAGGTGGCCGTGTCAGCTTACTGTTTTGCCATTCATCCTACGCATCTCCAGGGGTGCTGACACGGGTGGTCGTGTCAGCTCCCTGTTTTACTTTCAAAATCAAAGTTGTGGGCACTTCCTGACACGGACCGTGTCAGACCCCTGTTTTTTTTCCACTTTTTTGCTATTTCTTAAAAAAAAAAATTCATGCTGTTTTTTTTTCATCTTTTGTTTGTATTTTCAAGTCGATTAACCCGATGTGGTTGTACGGACATTGTATGTGGATGTTATTACGGTCATTTTTGACTTGTGGTTCCAAATACTATTTTCAAAAATAAACTCTCGATTTTATCGAGCCATTTTTAACCTTGTAAGTCGATTGCCTTGTGCGTCGCCATGTTTGAAGATTACAACGCAAATAACTAAAAAAAAAATCTAACACATAGGAGACAAATGAATTGACGACGACTCCTATGCCTTATACATAGTTGTCAATTCAAGTGGGACTAGATGCAGTAACCAAATTGACTTAGAATTTTTATTTGTTCAATGGAGCCATCAATTGAATTCACATGTGATATGTGTTACAATTTTATTTTTTAAACATAGATATTTTAAAATTAATGAAAAAAATATTATTTAAATTTTTTTATTAGAAACTTGTTTATTTAAAAAAGATATATCTCAACTCCAACCCAAAAATAAACATAAGACTGCAAATAATAAAGAAAGATCTCTTGAAACAAACAAATCTTTAAAAATAAAGTCAAATTTAGTTGGCATAGCCTTGGTTCCAAACTACTATAAAATTCAGCCTAACTTTAAAAGTCGATCAACTGTTGAAAATGAGATTGTATTCTTTTCACAATAAAACCAAATACACACCCTAAACATAAAAAATATTCCTTTATATATGCAGACAAATTTATGGTTGAGAAAAATAATATCCACAATGATGATCCACAACCTAAAAGTTTGGCCACACTTTGATTACTCACATATAATATTTCAACTCCAAAATTAAATAATCGATTAATACAAGCTGGAAGCAGAAGTAACTGTTGAAACAAGAAAGCATCCCAAATATCACCAAACCTTACCTTCCATCAACCAACATTACAACACACAGTGACATAGTGTGTACAGAATTATAATTTTGGTTGTTGTGTCCACTGTTTAATCAATATGAAAGGACCATTTGTTTTTCTCTTTTTAAAATCAATTTTGGAGCGAATCTCTTCCAACTTAATCAGAGGTCATGAGTTCAAACTGAGCTCTAAACACGCAGCAATGTTAAATCTTTTGAGAAAGAGTTTTGCTGTCTATTATACGCAGAGAATACTCAAATTTAAAAAATAAAGAAAAATCAATTTTGGAGCACATGTAGCTATTGACTTTATTCATCTTTGGATTCTGCTTTTAGGTGATTTGTTCACTTTTTCCATTTCTTTTGGCTTAATTTTGAATAGTACTTTTTTGTTTAAAGCCAGATTTTGGTATATCTCTTTTTGATATTTTCTAGTAGAGCAAGACATGAAAGGGAATAAGTAATTTGATCTATAGCTGGGAAAAAACGATTGCTTTTTGGAAAAGGTAACAATGTGATGATTTCAGCAATGATGCTTGTTATAATGGATTCATGACTTTTTAATCATGATGGACCACATCATGACCCCATACAATGAGATAAAATGTCATATAAAGTTTTACTTCAAATGAGATCTTAAAACTTTTACATTAATTATATACAATTTGGAAAAAAATGACTTTATTAAAGAAATACCTTTTTTTTTTTTACAAATTTAAAATTATACCATAGTCTTTATAAATTCATGATTTTTTAATTAAATTTTTTCAAATTTATTTAATTATTAATTTATTTAAGAGTGTAAAAATTTGATTAATTAAATTATATTTCCAAACTGAATTGGACTCAAGAACAAAAACAATTTAAATGGTTAATGAATTAAATCTCTTGTTATAAAAATTCAGTTAGTTAAATTTAAGTTAAAAATTAGTTTAAAATGTTTATTTAATTTGTTTTTATTATTTTTTAAGATATAATCTAAAAATATTTTTTAACAATTTTTTTAATTATAGTTTTATTTTCTATTTTATCTTATTTACATAATTAATCTTTCTATTTTAAAATAAAATTATTTTTATCCACCTTTTTATATTTTTACAATTAAAATTGATGATATATCGATTATTAAACGGTGTATTATTTGTGAAACATAACAAATTATTCAATAGAAATTTTGGTGGAAGTCATGAAATAAAAGTTAAAAAATAAACATGATATTGATATTGATATTCAGTAAAAGGATCAAAATGATTTGAATTTAAAAGAGATTGACTAATTTTATGATTAAATAAAATCGGAGGAACAAATTTGTAATTAAACCCAAAAATAATCTTATTAAAAATATATGTTTTCAAAAAATTATAAGTATCTAAAATTAAAAAAAAATATTTTTCTGCTTCTAAAAATATAAAAATCAAAAGAGTAGAAACTTCAATTTTAAAAGTCATAACAATCCCTAATTACAATAGAATGGTTTCAAATTAAAATTAATTCCAATTGGATAATTTTGTGTCATACAAATTACAATCCCTAATCCTATTATGACCTATTAAACCTCTAATATCTCCATCTCAACCCAAAAGAAAAAAGAAAAAAGAACCTAAGAAACTTGCAAGTTGCAATCATAATTAAACACAAAATAGTAAAAATTTCAAGAATCTAAACAAACAGGTTGAACAGAACTTCTAGATCTACTTCCATATCCAAATAAAAAAAATGATTTCTTCACCCTACCACTTCCACCTCCACCTCCACCTCCACCACCGCCACCGCCTCCACCGCTGCATCCTTCACTGGAGTTGCTAACTTCATTGACACCCCTCTTTTGCTGATGCAGAGCTTCTTGAACTGCTAGATAAAACTGTCTATCCCCTGATGAATCCATTGAAAATGATCTTCTAATCGGTTGAACTGAAAATTGTTCATCTTTTGTCGCTCTAATATCAATGCATTCATCTCCCATACTCGTAACTTTATGCAACTTTTTTCGACTTTTTCTCGGAGAAGGACTAATAGAACTCGCTCTTGGTAATGGCAATGGCAATGGTAATGGTAATGATAATGATAATGGTGATTCTATTGCATCGTTACTCAATTCAATCACAACAAAATCTTCATCGTTATGCTGATTTTGATCTTGAGTTGAAACTGAAAAAGGGCTATGTTGAAGCATTTGATCAAAACGGTATCCTTTTGTCAAAGAAATGCTGGTTCTACAAAGTGGACAATTAGCATTGTTTTGTAACCAAACATCAATGCAATCAATGTGGAAAACATGGTTACAGTTCGGTATAATGCGAAGCTTCTCCTCTTGTTGAAAATCATTCAAACAAACAGCACATTCAGCCGAGTCTCTATCCTCATCTTCTGTTTTGAAATGAATCACCGGGATTAGCCTAATCACGGCCTCGTCCAGACCGCGAGGCTCTGTCCCCGGTGAGTATGCTGTTGTGGGACCTTGCTGTCTTCGAGACGGCGAGAATCGCCGGAGAAGATCGATACGGTGCCAGTTGAGACAACATTTGATGACAAAGATGTAGTAGGAAACAAGCAAGAAAGCTGTCGCTAATATTCCGATTATCGCAATTGCTATGATGGGAAAACTTGTGCTGGAATGATGAATATGAGGATGTATAATTGAACTCGAAGAACTTGCTATTGGAGAAATAGCTTGTGATTGTGAAAAATGGATCAATAATTTTCTACTTACAAGATCCATAATAAAAGAAGTTGTTATAGAAAATGCGAAAAATGGGTTATCTCAGATCCTGAAAACACATAAAGAAAATGAATAAAGAAAATGAGACTATATAGAATGTGGAAGAACTAGTTTTAAAGCAAAGAAGAAATAATTGAAAATGATTATATAGAGAAAGGAGAAAAGGAGAGGAAACCTAGGTGGTGTGTAAATGAGGATGGTGATGGGGAAGGAGACAGAACATTAAAAATGTTGTGAAAAACTGTTTTTATTTATTAAGGTTGTGAAGTACTACGTAGTGGTTGGTGGTGAATTTCTGAAATTTCTGGCTAGAAATTTGTTCCACAAAGAGTGTCTTGATTAATGATGAATATTTTTTAGAGTATTTTATACATGATTATATGTACGTATCATACTATTTAATAATTGGAGACTTTATAGAATCAATTGTGGTCCTTTAAGAATGATAATAATAGTGGATCAAGGCATCACTTAGTACTTACCTAATTGACAGATACTATATTGGAGAAATAAATATTTTTTGAATTTTTTTAGGTCTTTATATAAATACATTGACAATGGTAGGAGTCTATTTCTAGAGGGATTTTATCTAGTTCAAAAAGTTATCTTTGCATTCAACGAAGAAGATATTCAATTATAAATTTTTTTTTTATATAATATAAAAATATTTTATCATAGTTAATAAGAATGAGAGTTTAAATATTTCCGTTCTATTAGGGAATTCTATTTTGTAGGGCAGCATTAAGAGTACTTTTCTTTCTTTCAAATAAGCTTTTGTCCCCTTATTTTCAAACTAAGTAACTTCAATAATTGAGATGAAGCATTTATAATTTCTTCTTAACTCATATTTAAGGTGACGTTTTTAAAAAATCTTTATTAACTCAAGTTTATCGATTGGAAATAATATAAAAGCTACTACAATAATTAGCAGAGAACAAAGCACTTGAACAATGTTAATGAATAATTGATGTATAATTCGAGGAAGTGATGACATAATTAGATACAACTCATGTCAATAATCAATCATAGTAAAAAAAAGTCTCACACTCCACATGCTGCCTACGATAGAATCCTATATTTCAACTAGACACATGTGGACTTTTGAAAATTTCTTCTGACTAATAAATAATCCACACTATTCTTACATAACAAAAAAATATTTTAATTTTTTTTATAAAAAAATACATACTTATTCGACATTCATTTAAATACATATGATTGAATATTCTATTTTTCACAAAATTAAGTCAAAAAAAATTTTCTCTGAATTTTTATAGTTGACCCTAGTAAATCAAAATTCAAGAGAAAATTGTTTTGTGTACTCTCAAGTTGATCTTTCATATTAAGTGTAAATGTGAATGATTGGAGTTTTACATTGTCTATAGAATCTTAAATTTATAAGATAAATTATTCATTTTTTAACACTTTAAAATTTTGGATTGAAATATAATATTTCACAATTTTGTAATCCTGAATCATTAGTTATATTGATGCTCCCAACTCTCATAAATTTTTCAATAGTAGGGTGCGAGAGTTAATTGGTCAGCAACACTATATAATTATTTAAAATTTTAGACAAAATTACTATTTAAATTATTTAAATTATTTTAAAATATCAAATTAGTTCTTTAAATTTTTTTAAGGTTTTAGTCTATTTTTAAAAATTTCCGTTATAATAAATTGCAAACTCATATACTATTTGAACTGATTTTTCGCGCTCATCATGAATATGCAATCAAATTTATCAAACAAGTTACGATTCATGAGAATCAAGTAAAAATGGACGAAATACGTAAGGAAAAATCGTCGAAATCAAACGCAAAATTAATTACATATTCGTGATCAGCGCGACAAACCAGTTCAAATGGTATATGAATTTGCAATTTATTGTACCAGAGATTTTTTTAAAAAAATTTAAAAGATTAATTTGATATTATAAAATAATTAATTTTGCCAAAATTTTAAAATAATAATTATTATCTTGACTTATAAAATTTTTCTAACCGATCTAAAAGTTTCATCTACGTTTAATGAAAATTGAACATAATTCAAAATTATATTATAAAACATATTAATTAAAAAATGAATAGAAGTGAGTGTATCTTATTGAACAAGTCAAATATGTTAAGTGTGGTTAGGAGGAAAATGGGTCCATCTAGAAGAAACTTTGCGCCTATCTTATTTGAAAAGCTTTGATGAAGTGGTCTAAGTGGGCCCTGAATTCCTCACCTAGTGCAGTGCCTTGTAGGAAAGTCAAGTCCGTGTGCAGTGCCATCTTTCTATGCAATTCAGAACCGACATAAATGCATTTATATTTTTAGCTTCTTGAAAACACATCAACTTAGGTGAGAAAAATAGACACACACTAACCCTTTGCTTTTTTGAGTTTCGTAAAGTGTTTCACACATTGGTCAAAGCTTGAGGCCTTGTTGCGTCTGCAGGAAGAAACTTCAAACTTGTTATGTAACTTTTTCGACAATTTTTCAACTAAAGTTCACTTGTTTTCTGTTTTAGTATATGTTGCCTTTATGTGTATACAGAGGAATTAAATGAAAGTAATAAAATTTAAATTGATTTAGTATATTATTTGTTCTTGTACAACACAAGAGTGTATCTCTACGCTTGTTTTTAATATGTTTGTTCTACAAATGAGGAAGTGTATTTGCAAATATACTTGCATGTTAAAGTCACACAATGTGAGAAGATAATAAATGATTGAGTTGAAAATTGTATATGATTAGTTATAAGGGTGGCCCTTTTTATTTATTGATTGTAAAGTAGTTGATTTAATGAGTGTTATTGTGTATTCATATGTTTTCTAAGTAGATAGTTATGATCACATCATGATATGATGTGAGATAAGTGGTGGTACATAATTGTCAAAGCTCTTTGGACTATTTCTGCTATTTTGAGTGACTCAAAAGAGAATTAGATCATTCATTTTCTGAGAGAAATAAAAAAAAAAAAGCAAGAGAGAAAATAATATTTCTATAATTCTAATTTGACACAGATTATTTTTTGAGATCAGAGTATTCTCACAATTTAGCAGTCAGATTGTCTTGATTTTTGGTGACAATATTCAGTACTTATAGAGGTACATTTTGAACGGTGGAGATTAAACTTTGAGTTTTCTAGACTTGCCTTTCGAGTGGTTTTCTGAGATAAAGTTTTTGTGATTGTTTTGATTGATTGTATCTCTTATTTCTTGTTGTATTCTGAAATTGATTGTAAGTCTTGAGTATGTTAATGTATGCCTCTAACTAGTATTAGAGAGAACATTGATTATACCAATCCTTAAATCGAGAGATGACAATGTTTGCAATTCTTGCGATTCTTTCACGAGTCTTCATATTATTCATTTGATGAAAATCTAAATATTTTACTTTATGAATCTCTTCCATCATTTCTCTTTTTAAAGATTCCACCTATTAAAGCTTCTTCATCACTTCTTCTTTTGTTGGATGAAGCTACTTCAAATATTTTACTTGATGATGCTTCTTCATCATTTGTTTTGGATTTAGCTTTCTCATTACACTCATCATATGATTATTATGAGGAAGATCATTCATCTAATGTGATTGTTCTTTCATAGAAAACCATAGGAAATGATTATACTTCTTCTTTGAAAGAACCTCTTGATGAAGTTCATGATGATTCTTCTAAATTTATTCGTTCATTAATTTTTCAATAGTTGAATTAACTTGTTAAGCTTTTCAAGCATTTCTTTTTCTTATACTTTTCGTTCATCCCTGTTATTTAGACTGACTCAAATAAATGTAGATTAATAGTTCATGTGTGTGTAAATTTTTGTTACAATCAATAATGAGAATTAGGTCATTCATTCAGTATGTGAGATACAAAAATAAGAAAAGCAAGAGAGAAATAATATTCCCCCAATCCCAATTCAACACAAACTACTTCCACGAGATCAGAGTTTTTTCATAATCCAACTGTCGGATCGTCCTCATTTTGGTGACAGTGTTCAACACTTATAGAGGTACATTCTGAACGGTGGAGATCGGATTTTGAGTTTTCTAAACCTGTCTTCCGAGTGGTTTTTTGAGGTGAAGCTTTTGTGGTTGTTTTGGTTGATCGTATCTCTTATTTCTTGTTGTATTATGAGATTATTTGTAAGTCTTGAGTATGTTGATGTATGCCTCTAATTAGGGTTAGAGAGAACCTTGATTGTACCAATTATTTGATTATAGTGAAGATTTAAGTGGCCTTAGGGTCCCATGGTTTTTTACTCCTAGTTAACGGAGGTTTTTCCACGCTAAAATTGAGTTGTGTTGTTTGGTGTGTTTTATTGATTGTCTCTAAGTTGCATTTAATATTTTGGAAGGATTGTATTGTTGGATTATTCTGTTAAATTGTGGATTTTCCCCCAACAAGTGGATCTAGAGTCCCGGTTTGATTTATGTAACGATGGAGACGAACACATCTAGGATGGTGAGTTTGAATGGATTCAACTATGATGTTTGAAAAGAGAAGATGGAAGATTTTCTTTATGTTAAAGGCTTTCACTTGCTGGTTTTCTCTAGTAAAAAACATGATGGAAAGAGTGATGAATAATGGGCTTTGTTGCATAGACAAGTTTGTGGTTACATTTATCAATGGGTGGATGATAATATTTTGAATCATGTGAACTCGATGACTCATGCTCGCTTTTTTTAGACAAAACTTAAGGAGTTGTATGCAAGAAGGACGGAGAATAATAAGTTTTTCTTGTTTAATAAATTGATGTCATTGAGGTATAGTGATGGTTCACCAACGATCGATCACTTGAACATTTTACAAGAGATTCTAAATCAACCATCAGCGATGAATCTTACTTTTGATGATGAAATTCAAGGTTTGTAACTTCTTAGTACTTTTCCTAATTCTTGGTATACTTTAAGGGAAGCCTTGTCTAACTCCTCTCCAAATGGTATCATTAAGATAGACTTAGCTAAAAGTAGTGTGTTGAATAAGGATTTGAGACGTAAGTTAAAAGGTTCTTC